CAACCTCAGACTCCTGGGCTCAAGCAGTCCTCCCGCCTCAGCCTCCCCAGTAGCTGGGACTACAAGTGTGCGCTACCATTCCCAGCTACGTTTTTCATTTTTTGTAGAGACACAGGAACTTGCAATGTTGTTCAGGCTAGTCTTGGCCTGAGCCAAGAACTCCTGGCCTCAAGTGATCCTCTTGGCTTGGCCTCCTAAAGTGTTAGGATTACAGGCCTGAGCTGCCACACCAGGCCCTCCCATATATTAATGCTTTACATCATCTTTGCATTATTTAGAACACTTCATACAGTGTAAATGTTACATAAATAGTTATTATAATATGTCATCTTATTCCTTATATTGTTAATTTTTGTGATTCTCTCCCCCCCCCATATTTTTGGTCTACAGTGGGTTGAATCTGTAAATGTGGACCTGTGGCCACAGAAGGCTGACTAAATAACATAGTATTCTGTCTCACACACCAGTAAAGTGTCCATGTGCAAACAAGCATGTCCTGGAGGGAGGGGGCGGGATTAGCCACAAGCTGGGGGGCTAACCTACACACAAACCATGAGATGGCAGTTTTGCAGCTGACGAACTGATGATTGCAGTGTGGGGCTAGAAGTAGTTTATAACTACAAATAGCAGCACTGCCAATGTGATGTAGCTGCAGGAGCAGAGTGTTCTGGTGTGTTCTCAGGCCTGTGCAGCAGCTTGGCTCCCAGTATGTGCTGCACTAAGCTGGGTCCTTGGGAATCTTTGCCTCGTGTCAGTTAGAGCAGATGAATTGCAGGCTTTAGGGACCCATAACTGTACATTTAAGTTACTGATAATTCATAAAAACAGAAGTATGAAATTGTATGTTGATATTTTCTGTCCATTCTTGGCCCATCTGGGGCTCCTTGAGGTCCCCCAAGTGTGGCACAAATAGTCCTTGTTGTAGACCATTCTTTGGGATCAGCAGCTCCCCAGCTTTTTTTTGACTGCAACCCACAGTGCAGAGTAAGTTCTACGTTGCAGCCCAATCTGAATGTAGAATACTGACATACAGAGAATTTCACAACATATTGTCCTTACTATGTAGAGTATCCTTTGGTGTTTTTTATGTTGTTCTATTAATTTTTCAAAAATAACTCATCTCAACTCACAAAATTGATCTCCTGACCTACTAATTGGGCTGTGCCTCAGATGGGAGAATGCTGCCTTTGTTGACCAAAATGTGGGTAAAGCCCAGACTGGCCACACTGGGGGAGGTGCCCGAGGCCCACAGCAGACGGCCGGGGTCTGGGATCTCGCCTGCTGCGGTCAGCGAGCACGCCGCCCTGTCTCCCTTGTGCCCTGTCTGTGGTTGCTGATGCTGGCTCTGTGATCACTACAGGACACAACTCCGATGGGAAGTTCATCGCCCGGGCGCAGCGGATAGAGTACGACTGTGAGCTGGTACCCCGGCGAGTGGCCATCTTCATCGAGAAGACGAAAGATGGGCAGATTCTGCCGGTACCGAACGTGGTTGTGCGAGATGTGGCCTGTGGCGCTAACCACACAGTAAGGCTTGAGTTTTTCTCCTCGGTTCCAGAGAGTCATGCCAGGGTAGAGGGTGTATCTGTGCTCAAGTGTCCCAACACTTGGCTGTGGTCACGAACTGATCCCAGGTGGACGTTCTGCGTTCTTCAGAGGGCTTTGTACCGTTCGTTTGGCCCTGGGGCATAGTTCCGTGTCACATTTTCCCCGTGACTTCTACAGACATATCTAAACATGCAGACATTTTGCCGCCCCGTCCCCCCATTAGACGTTAAGCACTGTTTGGCGTTTGGTTTTTGTCTTAATAGAATATCATGGACATCTTCCCAGGTCAATAGATAACATCCTGTACTGGGGAATTGAATAGTTTTTGATTATTAAGGTTGTTTCCTTAAAGGTCGGTTTATATAAACTGCAATACAATTCTTTTATGTGTCTTTGTGTCTTACTTGCCTTCTTGTAGTTATTTTGCCTGTGAATGCCTGTGAGTAAAGTTGGGTTCTCTTCTGTTGAAAAAGCCTTGGGCTAGGAGTCCAGAGACCAAGTTGGTGCTCCTGGCTGAGTGCTCCGTGCCCACCTCCTTCCCGGGATCCTTTGCTCTATGATAGAGCACCGTGCATTGGCTAGGGTTGGAGTAGGAGGCTTCAGTTCCCGCAAGGCTGGAAACTGTGATTCTGTTTTGTCTAATGTATTAAATAGGGCAAATAAAGTTGGATCTTATTGAGGGCCTCTTAGATCAAGTTTTCTAGTCAGTTGTACAGAGATACCAAATTTGCGTGTCAGAAGTTGGTGGAGGAAAGACACTTTAAAAAGGAAGATAGACTTTAATACATCAACTGCCGCACTAGGAAAAAAAATTTTTTCCTTGGGGCCACGGTGTTTTATTGTGAAAATAGAATAAAAACTTTGAAAACAAAACAATCTTTTCTAATTTAATGAAAAATTTGTTATTTTTTATCATTTTCTGTGCGTGAGTTATATGTGACTTGAAAAACAGCTCACGTGGCTCCCAAGATAGAGATGTGTGAGTTACATATGCTTCGCGAGGCCCCAAGCTCAAAACTAGCATAAGTTGAATACAACTCACACGGCAGTTAATGTGCTAAGTGATTGAAGTGTTTTCTCCAGGGACCAGGTGCAGGTTACCTCTGTGTGCCTGTAGGCAAGGGAGGTCTAAAGAAAAATCCAGGACGGGGAGGCCTTTTCTCCTCTTTGTTCTTTATGCAGTTTAATCAATATTTTAATAGGAAATTGAATGCCCTGTCTTACTGTGTGGAGACATAGCCCTCTTGCTTCTGACCAGGGAAGGGGAAAGACTTGTGGCTTAAACAAAACAAGACTGGAAAGTAGAGTTCGCGGCAGAGAAAGTAGCAGACTGGCCTCCCATGGAACGCAGGGTTTTGCCGGCTGCGCTCCTGGTGGCTCCGCCCCCTGCCCGGGGCAGGTAGAGATCAGCCTTAATGTTGCTGCTCCTGTGCCGTTAGCTGCTGCATCAGGTTCTCTGGACACAAGAGACCCCTTTTGTCACCTGTTGGAAGCCTGTTCCCACACTGTTTCCTCTCTCCCCACAGCTGGTCCTGGACTCCCAGAAGCGAGTCTTCTCCTGGGGCTTCGGTGGCTATGGCCGGCTGGGCCACGCAGAGCAGAAGGACGAGATGGTCCCTCGCCTGGTGAAGCTGTTTGACTTCCCTGGGCGTGGGGCGTCCCAGATCTACGCTGGTTACACCTGCTCCTTTGCCGTCAGTGAAGTAGGTTAGTCATTTCTCCCTCGTCTGTGCCTCAGGACAGAGGTGTCCAGGGCCAAGTTGTGGTTTTTCCCTCCGGTGCAGATCAGTGTTCTGCTGGGGAGCCACATGGCCCTTGCCTTATCCTAAGACCATGAACCTCGAATCTCTCCCCAGTGTTCTTTTAAACAGAGTGCTCACTTGTCATCCAGTCCTTTTGCCTTTCACCTGGACGGTGCTGAAGGTGAGACTGCAGCTCATGCGATGTCTGGTCACAGTGGGAATGGGTTTTGTCTTCTCGCAGGTGGTCTGTTTTTCTGGGGGGCCACCAACACCTCCCGTGAGTCTACCATGTACCCGAAAGCAGTACAGGACCTCTGTGGCTGGAGAATCCGGAGCCTGGCTTGCGGGTAGGTGGCAGCATCTCCTGGCGACTGTGACGTCTCTTCCTTCCCTGGGGGTGTTGGATCCCGAGAGGGCTGCGCGTCTACTGCCAGGCTGTCCCTGTCGGGGCGTTGGGTGCACTGAATCTGGAGGGGGCAGGAGGGGAGAGGGCTTGGGAGGCACTAGAACAGATGGCTTGTCCCCTGTCTTTGAGGGTGGGGTGCATTTTGAAGATATTTGTTTTCCAGAGAAGTACACAAGCAGAGATTGATGTATTCCGCTTATGTGGCAGGTTGGAAATTATTTGTAGTTGGAAACATAGTTGGATCTTAGTTACTCTGACACGCTGGGCAGAAGAAATGCTCTTTGTGTCAGTGGTTCTCAGTTCATTTCAGGACACCTGTTGCATTCTGTAGCACTTATTGATGAGGAGTTGATTAATCGACTGGCAGATGTTGGGGGGACAGCTTGGGGGGAGTCAGTGTGGCTTTAATCAGTTGAAACCTCTAACCCTGCCTGAGTTACTGTGCAGGGACGGCTGCCACCTTGGGAATGGGCTTTTGCTTCATCCTGATTTGGTCTGATGTTTTCCCAGTGTGTGTCTTCCAAAGTGACCTCCCACCAAGAACCCTAGAACCTGGGGTGGGGGTGGGGTGGCTGGGTCTCCTGCCGTTGGATCCTAGCCCAGACTTTGCAAGGGTTCTGTTTATTCGAAGTGTTGAATGGCCTTCATGGGACAATCTTAGGGTTCAGGAGAAGCCTGTTGGCCCCTTAGTTGTGTTTATTACTCGGAAATGAGTACATTATAGAGGTTTTAATGGGATGTCCTTGGTTTTTAAAAGCAGTAGCTCACACCCATGCCCTTGAGCAGTAGCCACGTGGGCTCAAGGCTGGGGCTCCTGGGCGTGGTGGTGACAGCTGCCTGTTTGCAGGAAGAGCAGCATCATCGTGGCTGCAGACGAGAGCACCATCAGCTGGGGCCCATCGCCAACCTTCGGGGAACTGGTAAGGCGCCGGCGGGGACAGGCATTACGTTCTGCAACATTCTGTAATCTCTGGGTCCCGTGAGCTTTTAAGGCTGAGTCTGTGTTGATCAGACAATTAGGAAAGTGATCTGTCCACATTGTAAAATACAGACATTGGAAAGTTTCAGATCCAGTTTCTTGCATTTTGTAAGCCATGACTGGGATGCGATTGTGGTGCTTGGGTGATAAGAAAGGAACCTGTTTGTTCCCTGTCCCCAGAAGGCTTAAGTCAATAGGAAACTGTCATTTTAATTCCTGGACTCAAGCGATCCTCCCACCCCAGCTTCCCAAATTTCTAGAATTACAGGCGTGAGCCACCACACCCAGTCGGTGGGGGCTGTCATTTTAAACCAATGAGCATGCAATGAGCGAGCATCTAGTCTCCCTGATTTTCCCACGTCCTTGAAGGCTTTCAGCTCCATAAGCAGCACCGGCCGTTGTTTGTACTCCGCATAGCAGTAGATCGTCGGGCCAGCCTCGTAGGCGATTTGGGGATATTTCCCCTTATTTTTCCTAAATGGGGTTTAAATCTGTGTTCCAGTTTTTAATCTCAACTACTTGACTGATGAGGTTAGAGCCAGTAGCCCTCAATTTCACACTTGGCCTTCCCCAACCAGATGTCTTTCATCTTTGGGTCCCGGTCCTAGGTGAATCTTTAACTTCTTGTTAAGGGTAGCTTGGCTGTGCAGCTCATCCTGGCGGTCCTCCTGCTCTAGTCATGATTTCGTCCTCAGCTTGGCTCTTGGTGGTTTATCTTGGCTTATTTCCTGCTAGAAACATGGTCCACATCGCTGCCCTAGTCTCTCGTGGGTGGGAGCCAACCCAGTGGATGGAGAGGAGGGGAGGGAAGGGCTTTCCTTGGTCCCGTGAGCGGTCGCTGGGGTGGACGGGCGGATGCTCCTTTCCTCGGGGCTCCGCACACCCTCGCGGTCTGGCTGCGGGCCGGGGGGTGCTTCAGAGGCCGCCCAGTTTGAAACATCGGAAGGAAAGGAACAGAACCTGGTCCAGTTCCTGTGGATTGCTCTTAGAGGAGGAAGAGATGTTTTTTGGGGGCCTATCAGAAATAGACTTTGACTTTCTAAATACGAATTTTGAAACTAGAGGAGAACAAGGGGGACTTTTGGGGAAGCCTCTAAGAGGTGTGGGCAGGCCCCGGGCTGGGGGGCGTCCTGCCTTTCCCACCCTTCAGGACCATCTGTTTCAGCTGAGCCGAGAGGTCTGCGCCCTTTAAGTCGCCTTTGCATGGGTGCCCCACCCCCAGCTGTCCTTGACCAAGTCCTCCTGTCTGTGGCGTGGGGACGCTGGCCCCCTGCAGTCATCACTCATCGGTAGCGCCCCCTTCACTCCCACCGTCTCGTGGTTTGGATGGTGGGTATTCGGCCTCTAAGCCTCTAAACCGCAGAGCGTCTAGGGCACGTTGCTGCCCAGCGTTCTCAGTGACCTCGTCATCTTAAAAGGCTGCAGTTGCTGTTTCTTCTTGTATTCATGGCGTCATCTCCTGTCAGCTCTCCTTACTCCCCAAAAGGGCTCCATTATCACATAAACCCCTACAGGTTAGAACGGAGCACCTTGGTCTTCCCCGAGGTAAGAGCGCGTCATCTGTTGGTAGTAGGTTTTGTGGGAAATGTTGGCGACCTGGCCCCTGCCCGAGGGTGGCTGGGCTCAGTCACGGAGGCGCAGAGGGCGGCATCTCTGGCTCTGGTTAGCGGCTTGCCAGGACGCGGTGCCGTGAGTCCCCACTTCTGGACTGAGTCGCGTCCATCCCTGTTTGGTTGAGTGTCTTCTTTGCTCTGCCAGGGCTACGGGGACCACAAGCCCAAGTCTTCCACTGCAGCCCAAGAGGTGAAGACTCTGGATGGCATCTTCTCGGAGCAGGTGAGTGGGGGCGGCTGTGCCCGTGAGCGCCAACAGGCGCCCGGCAGGGAAAGGGCCAGTCTTGCCTTGCGTCTCGACCAGCTTCCCTGCCGCCTTGCGCCAGAGTTTTCTGATGGGTAACAGCCGGCAGCAGGAGAAAGAGACAGTGCAAGGGAATGCTGGCCAGGTTCGGTGGCTGTCCTCGCTCTCGATGACACACGCTGCAGTATGGCCACAGCAGATTGATCCCCAGGCGAGCGCATCGCAGTGCCATTGCACCTGCACCCGAGACTGGATCCTGCTGCTGGGCAGGGGGGGCAGGTCCACCGAGTGGAACTGCGCGAGGCAGATGGCGGGGCAGGGCCCCTGCTGCCAAGTCGCCAGGCTGCCAGCCGTGTCTGCTGAGACACAGATGGGGCACGCACCTCACCCAGAGGTGCTCCAGAGAGGCGCGTAGAATGGGGAGCTGGAGCTCGTGTCTCTGCCTGTCCCTGTTGGCAGAGACAGCTCGTTGGCTTCCTTCCAGCCGGGTCTCTGTGGCAGCCCAAAAGGCTGTGGCTGGCAGGGCATTGGTGACGGGATCGCGTGGAGACTTGCTGTCCTTAGCAGAGGGTTTTCATACGCATCTCAAGGGTCCCCTGATTCTCTCCTTACTGACCTCTTGGCCAGCCCAGCTTCCGGTGTCTGTTACTAGCTGGCCTTGACGTGCTGACGCGCCCCACGCACAGCCAGTGCCGATATGTTCTCGCAGGTCGCCATGGGCTACTCACACTCCTTGGTGATAGCGAGAGATGAAAGCGAGACCGAGAAAGAGAAGATCAAGAAACTGCCAGAATACAACCCCCGAACCCTCTGATGCTCCTGGAGACTCCTCCGATCCCACCTCTCGCGGCAGCTGTCATTTCCATGTGCACTGGGACGTGAAGTCAAACGAGGAATTTCAAAAAGCAAAAGTTGACCGAAGGTGCATTTTTGTTAGACTCCCCGAGGTTCCGTTTTATAAGTGATCCAACGTTAACTACCTTTTTCTGTATGCTTTCCAAAGTATGTTTTTTTCTCTTAATGTTTAATTAAAATATTTGCTCATAGTTGACTTACCATTCCTACAAAAAAGGCAGAAACTTTGAGCAATCTAGGTTTTTTTCCTCCTCCTAAATACGCTTCCCAAAACATCCGTTTCCAGTCGTGATTAGCATTGTGACCCGAGTGGGTGCTGCGTGGAAGAGGAATCGCCGTTTGCTCAGAAAAGATGTCCTTACAGGAACCAGCAGCATCCAGGCAAAGACGGTCCGTGGGGTCATCTCCATCCGAAACCACGCTTGCGTCTTTGGAGCACCCGGGTCACTCCTTGCCCGCTTTTTCTTGCAGACCGGCTTGTTCTGTTTTTCCCCCGGCTGCTTGCGAGGCCCGAGGCCTTCTGGCTGCACCGTGAATAGAATCTGCCGTTTCCCCCCTGGTGGGGGTTTGGGGTCTGTGTTTAGCCATTTTTATCTACTTTAGGTATAAAAGCAGCCCAGATGAAAATCAGGTGACCATGGAACCATGGGACTTGGGGGTGGGGCAGAGGTGGGAGCATTTGTATCTGTTGATGGCTCCCTGTGGAGCCCGGGCCGGCACTAGCACTCACCAGGTAGAGATTGATCAGCCAGCAGTGAGAAGTGCTTTCTCCAGTCCCTGCGAAGAAGGATCAGCCCTTTGTCGTACCAGCCTTTATCGCCTTTGTGCTTCGGTCTGTCTTTCTCTTACCCCCACGCCCCCAACTCCTGGGTCCTGCCTGCAACGGGCGGTCCTGTTTCTGAGACTTGGGATCCATTCTGCTAACCCAGCTCTCTTTAGTCGCATTTGCTTGGCTCCGGTACCAAATAGTTGGGATTACTGAAGAAGTCCCCCGTCCCTGCGTGTCAGCGCCGATGCCGTGACTGCCACCCGCTTCCCGTCAAGTGCCCTCTGCCCGAGCTCGCCACCGACGTGCGCTGCGCTGCGTGAGTTACGAGGTGCCTTTCCCGGAACCCTCCGCTCACTTGGACCCAAGAGAGGTGACAGCTCTGGCTGGGGCTCTTGGTTTCCAGAGGGTCTGGACTGGTTTGGGTGCTTTAAAATAGATTTTTAGTTCAGTGGTGCTTATGGGGGAGGTGGGGATAGAACTTAAGTGTGAGACTTGGGTGGATGGGAAAGTTAAATATTGGTCTCTTCGATTTTCTTTGCTTTTGCTATTGTTGTTACCATTTGTCATTGTATCGATGTTAAAATGCCAAAAATGATCTAGTTGTTGCTTTTTTCTCTATCTTCCACCCCCTTCTCTCCTTACGGTGACTTCTGCCCTTACAGGGCGCGTAACCGTATCTGTCCTGGCCAGTTCCAAGGCCTTGCGGGAGGAGACAGGCCTGCATTTTCTAAGAGTTAGTCTGATTTCATGCTCATCTCTCTGTCCTGTGTTCAGTCAGTAGTCCAGGGGAGAAGCTTGTGCAACTTCAGAGCTTCTGCTAAACTAACCCAATTTGTCCAAATCACTCTAAAATCACCGTCTCTGACTCAAGCTTCCATGTGACAACCTAATCAGTTTCCCTGCTTAGGCCTCTTTCCTTGCACGAAGCTCAGGCATCTGCGCTCTTTGTACCCTCGGGTGGTGTGGTCGCCAAGGGGGTTGAGGAGGCAGCACCCTGGGTCCTGGCCTTCGCAGGAGGTGCCCTGGGCAGAGCTGGGCTTAGGGCCTCTGTGGACTTACCGAAAACCAGCCTCAGCCTCTTCGGGAACCCTTGCCAGGGACTGGAGAAGGAAAGGGACCTTCTAAGTGAAGACTGCCCTGTCCCCCCGACCGCCTCCCCCAACTCCTTTTGGCTTAGTTTTAAATGAACTTCCTAAGGGGGAAAATCCTTTGAACAAGGAGTTGGTTGGGGGGTGCCGCACTCCTGAAGGTACACAGCAGCCTGGCCTGGCCGGGGACCTGCGTGGCACTGGCCCCAAGGGTGTGTGATGAGTCTTCAGCTCAGGAAGGAGGATTTGAAAGAAGAGGCTTAAGAGTGCAGGGAAGTTGTGCTGTAATTGTCTTATTTTTTTTTATATATATATATTTCTTGGAGTAAACATTTTAAATAAACGGCATCATTGTTTACTCTGTCTTGGCTTTGATGTTTCTTCTTCAGTTAGCGGGTATCTCGGTTTCCTCAAGTCCTCGTACGTGGGCTCCCCCCAGCCCTGGCACCCACAGAAAGGTCGTCAGGAGAAGGGTGGCTCCAGGGCAGCGTTGGGGCTTAAACCACACAGGGTGAGGTGAGTAGAGCCCCTGACCGCTCCTTGAAGTGGGGTGCGGGGTGGTGTCAGTGCCCCAGTCGTCCAATTCAGAAATGGAGTTTTTCCTATTCTCACTGGGGCGCTGAAGAGGGTGAGATGAGATTAGCCGTGGAAGGAAGCATCCAGAACAGGGGCTGGCACGTACCGTGTGTCCCAAATGTGTGTTGACGCCCCCAGACTCTTCAGGAGGGAGCCTGCTGTCAGGCACCCACTGTCGTGCGCAGTGTGGCCCGATGCCCAGCAGAGGGCGCAGAGAGACCGGTCCTGTGTTCGGACGCTGGGGGACCCTTGGGCAGACGGGCTTTAGCTTCCAGGCTGCTGCTCTTGGCCAACCTGGCTGAGTTCTAGACTGGACCAGCTGCCTTCAGCCATGGTATGCCAGCGCCGGTCACGGGAACCTCTGGGTGCTGGCTGCTTGATGTTGGAGAGCAGTAGCGGTCAGACCAGCCCCCCCGCCCCAGCAGGAACTGCCCGCAGGCTGGAGAGGAGACCCTGTCCCGCAGCCCATTAGCGGCAGAAGCAGCATGCAGCGGCAGGTCACAGGTCTGTCCATGTGTAAAACGTGGGATTCCCCATCACACGCTGTGGCTGCTTGAAGCTTCCCATCCCTTGATCCTGCCCTGAGGGACCCTCCCCGCCACGGGCCCCCATGGTCTGCAAGGGCAGTGGCCACCGTGCTGGGCAGCATCTGTGGAACAAGTAAACGGCTGACACATTCTGGCTGCCATGTTGTATAATGCGCCCCCAGCCCCCCGTAATCCACACCCACCGTCTTGAGGGGTAGGGCCATTTATTCCCCTTCCGTAGGAGGGAGATGCAGAGACAGATCGGCTCAGGCCGAGGCTGCAGTGGGGCAGATGGGAAAGTCTGTGCTTGCAACCACTCTGCTAAAAGGCCCCCATATCAAACTCCTACCCCACCCTCCAGGAGCTTAACCCCTGGCCAGGAACAGAACCCCTGCAACCTGTGGCCACTCTTTGGAGGGGCTGCCATCAGAGCTGTGGAGAGAGCCAGCAGACCTCCCACCTCCCACTCAGGGGCCGCGTTGGTTGGTGGCATCTTACAGAACAGGTGGTCTTAGAAGGAAGGACATCAGTCCGTCTTGGGGCTGTGGCTGGGGGCAGCTCCCCAGGTGTAGTTCGGGGCCTCTGCACCTGCGAAGCTGCCGCAGTCCTGCCAGCCCGCCAAGCACGTGTTGGCCGCTGCCCTCTGCCCTCCGCAACTCTTAGGCTCCCAGAGAGGAGTGGAAGGACCAGGAAAGTGGGAGGGGGCTTGCCTGGGGCTGCCCAGTCCTGCCCCAAGGCTGGAGTGTGTGAAAAGCCACACAGGACCTGGGGGATGACAGTGCCCTGCGGCCTCTGCCACCTCATCGAGACAGGTGGTAGATGGAATGCCTGGGCTCCTGCGCCCCCAGGAAGAGGGCAGGGGTGTGGGGGGTGAGGGGGAAGTACAAGTGCCATTAAACCTTTTGGAAGGTAAAGGGGGCACTTAGAACCTAAGGGCATTCTGGGCACCGAGGTGGCCCTGGGGGAGAGGGCGTGTTGGGGTCCCCATGGGTGGTTTGGGACCTCCAAAGCCCTGAGCTGCCTCCCCTGCACCAGGCCCCTCCATCCCCAGCCTTGGGCAGGGCAGGCACGGGGAGTTGGCCTCACAGCTGCAGGGACAGGGGGCTCCAGCGCTCAGGGAGAACAGCTGACTGCCCAGTGCTGGGTGTCGTTCTAGGGCTTTACGTGAACCATTCGGGTCCTTAAAACGATGCTGAGACAGGACCTGCTCTTGCCCCACTTGAACTGGTGAGGAAACTGAGGCACAGAGCCCAGTTAATGAGCTTATCTTACCACTTTTGACAGGTACAGGGGACATTTCTTCTCCTGTGCTAGGACAGTAACACAAGTCCACAAGTGACCACTGCCCTTGGCCCGGGACCCAGGAGGGAGGGTGGGGCCTGGGGAGCACATCTTTGTCTAGAAGGTGTGGCCAACAAGGCTTCAGCTGTGAGCCCCTTGGGTATAAGGACATGGCAGCAGGAGCTGGAGATCCAGATGCTGGATTGTTGATGCCCGATTTAGAGAAACAAAACATGACACAGGCCCAGCTCTGTTGCAGGTATTTGCTAACCAGTAGGGCTGTGGGGGCTTCCTCTAGCAGGTGCCCATCGGGGCGATGCTGCTGGGACCCTGGGGGTAGCTAGAGAGGGCTTAAGCCTGCCAGGGTCTCCTGGGGGACCCTTACTGAGCTAGGGAGGGAAGGGCCCAGGGCTGACTGGAAAAGCCCTTGGTTGGGGTCGTCCAGAAGAGGAACGAATGCCCCCACCCTCAGGCAGCCCTTAGAGGTACGTGAGTCCCCCAGGAAAAGTCTCTGCAAGGTGGCAGATGAGAGTGGACACTCCTCACCCCACTCCTGGCCCCAGGTTCCCCTCCCCCTGCTCTTCTTAGAGATGGGGCGCCAGCCCTTGGGACACGAAGTCCCCTCCTTCCTTGGCTTTTCCAGACTATCTGGAAATGCACATCGGCTTAGGTGGCAACCTTGCCCCATAACTAGCTAATCCACCCCTTCACACCTTTGCAGTCACTCGAAGGCCTGTTCCACGGCACAGCCCTGGGCTGGGACAGGGTCAACGGTAAATCCAAAGGTCTCTGCAGTGTAGATCACAGATCGAGCGCCATGGGCAGATTGACGAGATGCGGTCCATAGACTGTTCTGGGGTAGCTGGCACACCGCCTCAGCCAGAGAGCAGCTTCCGGATCAGAACCCACATCTGGCCCCAAGACCACGTCCATGCACCCAGCACCACCCTGCCCCGTGCTTCTGCCACTCAGGTCCTGCTTCCTTGCGGGGACCCAAGTAGGGCCGGTTGGGAGTGCTCAGGCTTGGGGTCCCAGCTCTGCTTTGTCCTAGCCGTGTGACCTTGGGCAAGTCACCCAGTTCTCCCCCGTGGAAAATGGGACCAGTAGCACCCACCTTAGGAGGTCGTTGAGATGACTAAAAGGGCTGCTTTGAACCTCGACGAGGGCCCCATATACACTCCACTCACCCTGAGACGTGATCCCATCCTGCATGCTGGGAAACCGAGGCAGCACATGACCAGCCCTCCATGGGCTGCTGATGCTGACGGGAGCCGGGAACAGGGAGCCCCTGCACGGCCGCTGCTCTGCAGCCAGGGGACACGGTCCCCAGCCGGGAGGCACCCCTATGCCCCTGGTCCCAGCAGGCCAGGCCTGGTTGGTTCTAGCCCAGTTCTGCCTCCAGCTCCTCTCTCAGGGCCTAGCCCCGAGGACTGGAAGGGGTTCTGGAGGAGTATTCGTGGGGAGAAGCAGCGTGGGAGCCAGCGATTGTTAAACCTCAGCGAATCTCAGCTTGCTTGAATAGCACCTGTGCCCTCGTCACAGGGCCAGACGGAAAGAGGTGGCCTTGAGTCAGCCCATGCCTGCCCCTGCTGCACCCTGTCCCTCAGGCCATACTCTGCAGACCCCAAGGAGCCCAGAGCTTCCACCCACAGAGGCCAGCTGCCCTTGGGTATGGCACTGTCCCCTCTCAGGCCTGCCTCCAGCTCCTCCCAGGCCCACGGAGGCCTCTCCCTTCCTGCAGCCTGGAGTCTGTCACACTGGGCCCTAGAGCCAAGATCCAGATTGGCAGGGCTTGAGCAGCATTGTCTAGCCCAGCCCCTGCCCCCGCCCAGGTGGCACAGCAGGACCACAGGTGTCTCAGTAGCTTTGTCCCCGGCTGTCTCAGACAAGGGGGCCACCGCAAAAATGCATTCAGAACAGCTAGAGCTTTATTGGCCATTCGGTAAACACTTGGCCGAAGGCAGTTTTCCACTTTCCCCCCGACAGGGGCTCAAGCTGGTGACATCTGCTCACCTTACAGGGTTTGAGGGACAGGGGCAGGGAAGGGCTGTATTGGCCTCGACTCTGCACCTTCCGTTCTGGACAAGGAGTCGCGCTGCTGCCCAGTGGCAGTGGGCCACTCACGCCGGGGCAGAGCGGGCAGCCCAGGGCCGGGCTAAGGCACCATCTTCCACCACTTGAAGGCGAAGGGCACCCGGTGGATGTTGGCGCAGGCGCACAGGTCTCCGACGTCGGTCAGGTAGCAGTCAAAGTCGTCGATGAAAGTGCACTTGAAGCCCAGGGGCTCCAGCAGGTGGCAGACCTTTTCTTCCAGGCAGCAGGTTCCCTTGATTTGGGGCCCAAACGGCTTGGGGATCCCCAGGGTCTTGCCCATCACAATCATCTGCAGCTGTCGGGAAGAGAGTCGTGCATGAGGCCCAGACGGGGATCAGCCGAGGGAGAAGCCCCCTCGCTTTCCCCTAAGGAAGGAACGCCATAGGGTAGGTGCGGGGAAGACCCAGCTGCCTCCACCGCGTGGTCGGGCCAGACCGGGGACAGCAGGCACCTGGCACCATCCTCACAGACACCACTGACCGGCGAGACCCAGCTCACTTCCACCTGCCCCTCCACTCGCACCCAACGCAAAACCCCAATCCTGCCCGGCCAGGGGCTGGCTGGGGCAGCTTCCCCTGTATTTCTGTTACTCTGGCCTTTTTGTCCTGCATGGGCCACGTTCCTGCTACCTCCCTGCGGGTGCTCTCCACCCCCCAGCTTGGCAGTTGACTTTTCACCATCTTTAACTCTTCAAAGAAACTTCTCACCACTACTCACGCGCACTGGGCCACACTGATCTGATAAAACTAGAAGATGCCAATGGATCACGGGTAAGTTTGAGGCCTGTGTCCCTAGGACCCAGGGAGAGGAGGCCAGCAAGTGTTTGAGAATGGAGGCACTCGAGGGCCTCAGAATTCGTTCTGAGAACCTACATGACAGGTCGTGGCTGTTGCATGGGAGAGTTCAGACGTCAGCCTGTTGGCACAGGCTGGGCAGAGCCAGGACCCCTTGTACTCATACCCCCTACTCCCAACTTTGGCTTCGTTTAGTAGGAGTAAAATGTTACTCTACACAGTCGAGCACCTACATAGGCAGATGCTGCTGATCTGAACCCTGGGGACAGTGGACTGAAGACCCTGCCCTCAGGGAACTTGCACAGGGCCTCACTGCCAGCAGCTGGTATAGCATCCCCCTCTGGGAAATAGAGCTCGTCTGTCCCTTCAAGATGGAGGTCAGCTTGCCGAGGCCCCTGAAGCACATGGCCCAAGCCCTGGACCACAGGAACTGCTGGGCGCGTCTCCCAGCCTTTAGGGCCTGCTTTAGTGCATCTGCTTCCTGGGTGGGGTCTCCCCCAACTAGGTGGGGAGAGAAAGGCCTCGTAGGCACCGCTGTCTGTTGCACCCGCCCCCTGCGGGCTAGCACTGTGGATGACATGCCAGCTGGCACTGGCCGACAGACCCCTCCCCGACCCAGGGAGCCCAGCATACCCCCCCCCAACCCCCGCACCCCTTACCAGGTCAGGGAAGTACGGCCTCGCAAATGGCCTCTGGGGCTGCTGGTCGGAGGGGACGTTGGTCAGCCGCGCCAAGCAGAAGAGCTGGGGTATGTCGATGATGTCCTTCTCCACCAGGCCCAGCTCCGTCTTCAGGATGTCGCGGTTCAGAAGAATGCACTTCTGAGGGGCAGGAAGGGGCCGGGAGAGAGAGGTGACCTCATCAGGAACGGAGGGGCCTGCTTCCTTCCCCACCAACGGGCCGTGGCCCGAAGCTGCTGCCATCTCTTCCTGCGTGCCAGGAGCCTCAGGTCAGGCGGCCCCCCGGCACGGCAGGCACTGGGGCCACAGAGACGCCTGGGCTGGAGGCTGGGATCCCACAGCTAGTCGGGGCCGCTTGCCTGCTGGGACCAGCTGAGCCCAACACCTTGACAGGACCAGACTCACGCCCACCATGCCTAGGCTGACCATCCCCAGGGGCTCAGAGGTTGTCTCAGCCCCATGTCTGGCCGCTGCCCACCCTGCCGTGCCAGGAGCCCTGTTCTTGCAAGGGTCAGGGTACCAGTGTGCTGTGGCACAGAACACTCCTCGGCTGGGAATAAGGGACCCAGTGAGCAAAGGAGTTTCGCTCTGACCACGTGACCTTGGGCAAGAAGTTGCCTTCTTTAGGCTTCGGTTTCCCCTTCTAGAACTCGGATAACCTCATAACTTCTGGGGACTCTGCTTCTCACAGCCAAAGATCCACGTTCCTAAGAGGTCTCTGAAGACCCTGAACGCCATTCTCGTGGCTGCTGTGAGGGGCCACTTCTGCCGGCAAGCGCCGAGAAGGCCCTGGTCCGAGTCTGATACTCAGCTCCTCAGAGCGGGGACGGTCCTGACCGAGAGGCTGCTGAGCTGCGTCACCGCTCCCCAGTAGACACCAGGCGGCTGAGTAGCACACGCAGCGAGCAGAGCGTGAACTTGGGAGTCACACTCTGGTCCAGACCCGGTCCCAACCGCCTGGGGCTCAGGCCAGCGGCTGTGCCCCGAGCCCCACTGCTCCCACGGACAAGCTGAGCCGTACGTTCTGTGTGGTTCCAGATGCCTCACACGACGCTTAGGTCATGGCAGGTGCTTGGTTAGGAAGCTGTCTAGACTGCCAGGGCCTGTCCAGCTCAGGGACAGAGCCAGGTGTGTGGTCATGACCGGAACTCATTCTGACAGTATCTGACACTGCTGGGCAAGCAGAATCTCTGCCAGCTGTCCCCTCACTCCGGCCCCCATCCCACCCCGGGGTCTAGATCCTGGCCCTCGGCCACCTTTGGCTAACAGCCGGGGAAGCTGTCAACCATGTGCGTTTTGGTCTCATCCAAGCACAAGGCACGTCTTGCTGGATTGTCAGCTTCAGAGACTTAAGCTCCTCCCAGTTCCTCAGTCTCCCCAAGCTGGTACACAGCCAGCCCCGGCCCCAGAGCTGGGCCTGCGTCAGGACGGGGAGCAGAGGGCAGCTGCCTCCGCCCAGGCCCCTACTGGGAATGGCGAGAACCTTCCGCAGGACCTGCGGTGCCAGCCCTTTCTTGGGGAAGGCCCCCCACAGCCCGGGCCCTACCTCCGCATATTCATTCTGCTTTCTCAGGTTTTCATCAGCGAGAAATTGATCGATGGTCTTGGCTTCCCTTCCTGTGGGAAGAAGAGCGGGCAGGCCTGTGGGTCGATGCTGTCCGGAGCTGGGCAGACTCGGGCCCTGGCACAGGCAACTGGATGTGTCCTTGGGCCAGTGACTATGGTGAGCGGCCTCACTGGTTTCCAGAGACCACCCCCGCCAACCTCGTACAACATCCCACACCTGGGGACTGACCAGGGTCTGCACTGGGAAGCCCAGGCAAGACTCTTACTGCCACCCGCCACTCTGTCCCTGGCGTGAGGGGGCATAGCCCATGCCAGGCTCAGAGAGGCAGCCTAGAACACACGAGCAGGGTAACTGCAGCCCCTGTTCACCTCTCAGCACAACACGCTCCATACAGCCTGGCCACCTTCTCCCGGGGACCCTGACCAGGTTACGTTAACTTTGTTCCTTAGTTGCCTGATCTTTGGGATGGGGATGCCCAATGTAGCCATCAGCTCTGAGGTATGCAGTTCATGCTCAGTACATGTCACCTTCCACAGGGCTTCTGTGACCCAGGAAGCTCCTGGGCCCCAAAGACTGGGCATCTGGGCGGTCTGGAGAGGGATGGAAAACCTGAGGTCCTCACACACTCCCCGGTGACACGCAGGCTGCTGGCTCTCGGACCACGCTTTGGGTACCAAGGGTCTAAAGAACTTCCTGTCACCCCTGCCCCTTTCGGGGGAAAGGGTCCCTTTGTGCTACTGTAGCGTTTAGATAAGAAATTCTGTGGCTCCAGCCACACGGCCTCTGCTCGGCTTTCAGGTGCCTCCTCAAGGAGGCTCAGGTTTCTGACCCGTACCCCCCGCACGAGGCCAGGCGCCGGCGTCGCTCGCATTTGGTCTTCCCCCACTTCGGGCCGTCGTGTGCGAAGTGGGTCCCTTTCAGACAGGTTCTAGCGGCCTCTCGCCAGAGCTTCTGGTCTACCCGTGTTGTCCTGGTACCGCCAGAATAGCGTGGAGATGGAATTACCATCCTCCTACAGCTTCCACAGTTCCCCGAGATCTTTTTTTTTTTTTTTTTTTTTGAGACAGAGTCTCACTGTGTTGCCCAGGCTAGAGTGAGTGCCGTGGCATCATCCTAGCTCACAGCAACCTCAGACTCCTGGGCTCAAGCGATCCTCCTGCCTCAGCCTCCCGAGTAGCTGGGACTACAGGCATGTGCCACCATGCCCGGCTAATTTTTTTCTATGTATTTTTAGTTGTCCAATTAATTTCTTTCTATTTTTAGTAGAGACGAAGTCTCGCTCTTGTTCAGGCTGGTCTCAAACTCCTGACCTTGAGCAATCCACCCACCTCGGCCTCCCAGAGCGCAGGGATTACAGGCGTGAGCCACCGCGCCCAGCCCACCACAGACCTTTTTGCCGTCACTCTTGTCGTCTATGGGGACGAAGCACATGAACTCATCCATGTGGCCCGACATTAGCCAGTCTGAGTAGAGCTCCACTGGGGCCTGGACCTGCTGGGCATAGAGGAAGTCTCGGAGGGTGTCGCTCATGTCCCGGCCCTCTGCGCTAGAAGGAAGATGGAAAGAACAGCCCTTGAGCCAGGGCAGCCCCGATCAACTGCCTGTCACTTGGCAAGCGACGGGCTACCTCCTGGTAACTGGCCCCTCCTGACTGCTGGGTGGAAGTGGCCAGTCGTGGAGGAAGGGGTGGTTAAGAATCCCTTGCTCTGACCCAGCTCAGGACAAAGCCAGGCAACTCCAGGTAGACTGGACCCTGGACATGGCGTTGTTCAGACCTGTGGTTATGAAATCCAACCACACCTTCTGTGGAAATAACACCCCTTTAGGCCAGCAGGCCGGCTGAATCTCAGTCGTTTCCATTTAAACCCTGGAATCAAAGAATAAACCATTTGCTTTTTCTACCTTCAGTCTCCCTACATGAATCAGAGGCCCAAATACCCTTCTCAGTTTAAGAAGTGGCCCGGAGCACAGGCTGCCGAGGTTACGAGAATCAGGTAGAGCCAGATTGGCTACCAGGGTCCCCTTCTTTAGTTTTAGAGACCTCTGGCCGCCACTTGGTCTCCTGGCTCACCTGGGGTAGAAGCTGCTGCCGATGAGGACCCTGCCCAGGGGGTATTCCTTCCCCTGGACCTTGACAGGCGGGGATACCATCAGGTTCCCAATGGAATCCATGCTGGCCACTCTGTGGTCCTTGGTGTACTGGATCATGTAGCCGACACCAGGGCTCTGGAAGGAGAGTCCGCCAGGGTGGGGGTGTTGAAGGGAATGGCTGCAAGCCCCAGTCTTACCCCTAATCCAGAATCTCAGGTAGACTTCCGTATCCCCTTCCCCCGAGGCTGCCTGGACCCTCTCTCCCTTCTGCCCCATCACGTCCTGACAGGTGCCAGGCCCAAGAGATGGGACCAGATTCAGATCGGCCAAACCAAGCTCCGCACCAGTGAGTACTTCATGGAGATCTCGTCAAGTGAGATGGCCCGAGGGGTATCGAGGACAAAGGACACCGTCTTGTGGGGCGCCTGGGTGTAGCAGAAGGCCATCTCATCCTGGAGGAGACAGGACACGGGTTGGGAAGTTGTCTCACCCCCTCTGCCGCTCTCCTGCATCTGGCTCGTGGGCCACAGCTCCCTGGGCCTAGGCCACCTCCAGAGGGTGCAGTAAGAGCCCCCTTCTTCCTGCCAACTCCTGCTCAGCTTCAGCCCAGCCCGGCCGTCACCTCTTGAGGCCATCCTGACCCCTTTCTCCTATTCTTCAGGTTTAGGACTTGAGTCACCCAGATTATCCCCTTTCTTCTGTGCCCAGTCCTTTAACGAGCCTTGTTGGCCTCACTTAAATAGGTTCCGAGTCAACTCGTCTCTGGCACCACCCGGGAAGCCACGACGATCACTTCCCTACACCGCTGCGATGCCTTCCGACCAGTTTCCCTCTTCTGTACTCGCCCCATCCTAGGATCTGTTCCCGACATCTCAGCCAGAGGCGGCTTTTGAAAACCCAAAGTTACCACCTTTCAATCCCCCACAATTCGTGCTTTCCCGTCATCCTGCCCCACCCTGGGGTTGTTTGTATCTTTTACCTTACGGCTTAAGAGGTCTCCAAGATACATTGCCCTCACCTACCTCTGACTTTTGCTCACTAAGATCACCAGCCCTTCTGTCCGAGTCCTCCGAGCAGACCCCGTTCTGGTCCTCAGCTGTCTGTGCCCAAGGGGCCGCTATATCTCATCCCCCTCCCAGCCTCCACGTGAACCTCCTCGTGTCATCTTGTCTTTTCACAGCACTGAGCTCTGTTCCTCGCTGAAGCAGGGGCGGCTCCCATGCTATTCTGTTGTCTCTGGTGCTTAGGACGGCACACCCAGCACGCAGTCACCAGCATGCGCGGGGCAGGGTAGAGCTCCAGAGCCAAACCCCAACCCAACTCTAGACTTCGTGCCGTGCCAGGGTCAGGTAGAACCCTGGGGCAGTGGCCCAGCCCTGGCAGACTTAGCTGAAGGCACCAGAACCTTCAGGTGCTTGGGGGTCAGGTGTTCTGTGGTCTTGAACACACACAGTCTGGAGTGGGAAGAAGGGAGGATTCCAAGCTCCATCTCTTAGTGGCTACGACTCGGGTAAGTCACTCTCGAAGAAGTCCCAAGCATGGAGACACCTCTGTCGAGGCTCAGGTTTGCCATGAAGGTTAACCAGAACCCTGTGAACTCCCTCCTGGGTGGTGCACGCCGAGTCTCCTCCCCTCCCCCACAGCGGGTTCCCCCAGGTGGGGTGTTACCTGGAGCCACCTGCCCAGGCGGTTGGGGTCCTCATAGACAGATGCCACCTGGAAGTTATTCTTCTCGCTCAGCTCCGTCACCGTGTTCACAAAACCCTGGAGCTGCAGCTCTCTGCCACGGGAGATGAGCCAGTTCCAGGAAGGCCTTCGACCCTCCCCACCCTGGTCACGATCTCCCCGTCCCGGGAAGGAGAGCGCCTCCTTCTGATCAGGAGAGGTCATGCCCCTGCCTACGAGGCAGACAGAGCAACTGCCCCTCACCACCCTCAGAGCCCATCTCACCCACCCAGCATCACTCCGCTCGGCCCATGGCAGAGCCAGGTCAAGAAGTGCTGGCGTCAGCCCCTGCCCTGGTGGCCTCTGCCTGTCCTCTCTCCACCCTTTTCGCACATCACCCCTGCCCCAGGCAACTTGGGAACTCTTCCCTCTGCCCACCCAGAGGTATTGTCCGATTCTTCTTTTGAGGGGGCTCCGTTTTTCCCCAAGAAGCCAAGAAACTGGGTCCCCCTTGAGATGGCAAGAAGATTGTCACATTCCTGTGCATAGCACGGGGTGGGTCTTGAATCTGGGATCTTGCTGCCATCACGTCCAGCACCAGGCTTGTGAATCTACAGTGGACATCCCTTCCGTGAAGATGAAGTGATGTTTGAGGCTGACGTTAGGATTGCCCATCTTACAGACAAATAGATCCACAGGAGTTGAACGTCAATGGGGTCATACTATTGGGAAAGTATCAACACTGGCATTTTAGTTCAGGTCCAGCTCTGGAGCTCACGTTGCTGTTCCACCAGATTGCTATGCTGTCCTATGAGTAACAATGTGATCACTAGCGTACTGTTCATAGCATCCTATGCTACTGCTCCAAAGAACCTATTTCTTGGGTCTTCACAGACAAGGCTACTGGAAGCCAGGCATCCAGACAAGGTCTAGAACAGCCTGCGGATGTTTACTGGGGGAAGGGTGTATAGGCCCAGTTTTGTAAGTCATCTGGCCAAGCTGGGTCAGGCCATGCCTGAATACCACCCTTAGGGAGACCTGGGTTTCTTTGAAGAACAAGTGGCTGCCTTCTGTGGGTGAGCAACCTGTCTTCAGATACAGACACCAGGTCTGTCTTTCATACGAGCCACCAGCAAAATCCCCTCAGATCTTCCCTGAGACTTGGCCTTTTCATCCCAAAACTCACGGTTCCTCCGAGGACCCTTGGACCTCACCCCCCGGTAGCCTTCCCACGGATGATCTGTCTGTGCCTCACTGGGCCTGGAGGAAGGGCAGGTCCTTACCACTCGTGGCTGCACCCAGACATCCCCCTTAACACCCCGGCCCCTTTGTTGTACACGTGCCCTCGAGCCACAGGATGTGCTGCCCTGCCGGGATGCTCCGTCACCCTGCCGGTCTACCTTTTCTGACTTCCTATCGCTGCTGCCATCCTCAGTAACACGCCCATCTGCGCGATCACGCCATGCCAGGGCCTGTTTAGATCCCCGATTTGAGATCTCATCTTCCACCCTGCCTCAGCCTCCTGCGCTGATGGCCTCGCCAACTCCACGATCTCCATCAGACATCCAGCCCCCTGACCACCATCTCCCTGAGGCCCCTCCCAGCCCCTAGGCTGGCGGCTTGGCCTCACTGGGACCTCTGCCCCTTTCGTAGTTCTTGCTTCTGTGGTGCATCACCATCATCTACTCTTGTCCCTGGGCAAGCCCAACCCTGGCTAGACCCGGGTCTACATCTGATCTCCCCTAGAGTTTGTTACTGAGAGTAGTTGGAGAGAAGCCCATGGTGATGTCTCTCTAGATCGCCAAGCTAAACAGGCTGTTAGCACCGCTGAGCCATCCTACTCGTGCTTCTCTAGTTGTCTGTTCCCTCCCGGAACAGTGACGAGCTGTCCTCGTGCACCATCCTGCTTTCTGGTTTCTGCAGCTGCCTCTTCCCTTCTCTGCTAGGTCGCTCCTGTTGTCCTTTGCCTCCTACTTTAGAAGGTGGCCTTTGTGTAAGGAGCCTGCCATGAGGGACACGTGGCCGTAGTAACCGAAGGCGGCTGGTATGGAGTTGGTGGGGCCAGGAGTGTCTACCTTCGAAGCAATCCTGAGTCTAACTGCTGTGTCCGAGCCGGTCTCTTGCCTTTTGTATGTGTTTAGTTTTCCATGTGATGGGGCGACAGCATAGACAGAACCCTTGGTGATTTCCCACTGGCTGTGTCCACACCCTGTCTCTCCTCCTCCCTGGGCATGTGTCCCCGAGGCCGATGTGGCTGTGCCTCTTCAGGCCTTTGGTACGTGAACAGAAGTGGTTCAGGAGACTTCTAGACCCCCAGCAGCAGACGGGCAACTTCACCTGGACTTTGGCTTTTACGCCTTCCTGGGGCTTGGGCCTAGACGTGCACGTGCCCAGCCTCCGTCGTAGAGACGGAGATGCTGCCCGCCCCAGGGGAAAGTATCCTAACCAGACTGAAAGGAACCCTAAGTGACAGTGTGGAACAGCACCACTCCCCTGCCTGCAGGCGTCTGGGTGAGGAAAAACATCACGCCGCTGTGTTTGGGTGCCGCACAGCCCCGGAGTCCATACGGCCCTGTTCGCTTTGGTCCCATCCCCCTGCCTCCTCCAGGTCTTGCCTGTTCTGACTGCGGGCACCAGGACATGCTGTCAGCCTCGCCTCTCTGTCCTTTACCCTGTTTTAGAGCGCTTGGCACTGCCTAAGACCATGCTGTTTGGCCCCTGCAAGAACAGGGGGACCACCTCGTTCATCTTACAGTCCCTAGAGCTTTGGGAATATTCAAACATATCAGATGGCTGACTTGGGGCGGGTCCGGCCAGCTCAGATGGAAGGATTTTAACTCACCTGGTGAGATGTCCTCCTAGTCATCTTCGCCCACCCTGCCCTGCTACAGAAAGAAGGCACTAGTTATGAGGACGGGCCGGCACAGGCAGCCCGAGCGTTCTTACCTGCACAGGTAAACCTCCAGCGGCATCTGGGTGCTGGGAAGGAAGATGCATGGAGCCACGCGGAACACCACCGTGTCTTTGTACACCGGGATCTCCGGGATCGACTGCGACACGAGGCAAGGTCCCGTCAGCGACCGGCTTCCGCATTCACGCCCTCCCCTCCCACCTCTCAGCCCAGCTCACCACGGGGCCTCGCCTGCCTTCTGCAGCTTTCTCCCCAACCCCTAGCTCTGCCCACCAAGCCGCATGTCCCCCTGTCCTCTGCCCACCTGTGAGACACGCTCCCCCGACTGGAGCAGCCCAGTCCGAGGACTCCTTGTCTACTTGGGGACATACCGGGTCCTGAGACTCTTCCACCAGGGAGGCAGAGTAGGAGATCAGGCCCGAGAAGCTGGCGGATGGGAACTCCATGGCTTCCACGTAGAGGGTCTCCTTCAAGTGGTTCCCCAGGAGGGCCAAGGTATAGGTGTGCTGGCCGGGCCCCAGCACCAGCTCGAAGGTATGAGAGCTGTCTTCTAGGAGAGGGAAGGGACAGACCAGCCACTGAAATAGCCTGGTGCTGGTCACATTTGAGGGTAAAGGCACCAGCCCATTTCTCATGTCTGAAGCTGGGCTGTGGGTTCTAGAGCTAGATTATTCGGGGTTTTTTTTTTTTTTTTTTTTTTTAAAGAAACACGGTCTTGCTCTGTCCCCCAGGCTGGAGTGCAGTGGCATCATCATAGCTCACTTAACCTCCTCCCAATTAGCTGGGACCATAGGCACATGCTACCACGCCCAGCCTTTTTTTTAAGTGAAGGGGTCTTGCTCTACTGCCCAGGCTGGTCTTAAACTCCTGGCCTCAAGCGATCCTCTTTGTCCTGGCCTCCCAAAGTGCTAGGATTATAGGTGTGAATCCCTGCACCCATCCCGTCCCTATGTTTCTGGTGTCTAGGGCTTAGTGGACACCCAGACGTCTGTTCACGGGCAAAGACCAGTCACTCACCAGCATGGTGAGACTTGTTACGAGTTAGGACTCGGGCGCTCAGATGCCTGCCTTCCAGGCCTTCAGTCTAGGGTGAAGATTCATGGTGGGTGTTCTACGCTTTGACCCATGAATCGAACTTTTGAGATAACAAAGTCCCAAAGTTGAGAAACCGTACTAAGTTGGGCTTGGCAGCCTCATCTGAAAAAGTCACTTATTGACACCAGGAAGCTCAGCGAGAACCGTCTACTCAGTGGATTATGCCTCAGCGGAAAGTTTCTGAAGAAACCAAGTGTTCTCATGATTGTACGTGTTAAGCCTGTTTTCTTCTAGTTTGAGGTCAATTAAAAATGAAACCACACACAGAAGTGGACCACATTAACTAGACCCCAAACCTACCCATTTTGCATGCCAGAGATCACCCTGACCCAAAGCCACCGAGCTCCTCCCACCTGGGCCACTAGAACTCCTTCCTGCCTGGCCTTTGCCTCTGTCCTTCTCCATCCTGACGTGGCAGCTGCAGGCCTGGTGGCTGTTGCCATCTGAAGTCCCCGGTGGATTCTTACCTTAGGGAATCCTAAACCGGGTTTACCTTGGCCACCAGAACCCCGAAAGATCTGGGCACCACGTCTTCCTCAGACCTCTGCATGGCATGTGCCAGCTGCTTCCGGCTCCGGTTCCCCCAACGTGTCAGACAGCTGCTGCTGCCATGGCTGTCCCCAGGTCAGGCACTGCCCTGGCTCTTCGGCCTCTTGCTCTGGGTGTGGCTGTAGCAGCCCCCCAGGCGGGCTCTGGAGTTCTACAGCAACACCCCCTCCGAGGCACCAGGGTGCCGGCCACAGGCCTGGCCTCAGTCCGCCTGCTGCTGGCCGCCAGGGGGCCGGGCCAACTGGGCACGCTCCTTTCCGGGTTTCCACTTCCAGTCTGCTGGGAGCCTCCCTTGCTGCCCCGAATGGGCGAGACTGGATGAGGCAGGCTTCTACCAGGACCCCCGCAACACCCCAGCACAGACACGGCCCTCGACCTGCTGGAGTCAGCTGGCCCACCGCGGAGTTCCCGACTACATGGACAGATCCCAGCTGGCCGCCACCCAGCCCAAGAGCTGCTGCAGGCCCAGGTCCTTCTGTCCTGGGGGCCCGAGCTCCCCGTGGGCGAGTCACTGCTGGGCAGTGAGGGTGAGGGGTGCAGTCCACTTGCCCCAAGTCCCTACCTGCTGTCCCAGTCCCTCTGCGGTTGACCCTCTGGGGCGTCTCACAGCCAATAGTTCGTTTTAAAGCACAGCCGATGGTGCACTGCAGACCTACTACATGCCAGGGACTGCCAGGTGTTGCAGGCTCAGGGACTCACCTGCATGCCCACAACCCTTTGAGGCAGGTGCTCGTTTATCCCCATTAAACAGATAGGGCAGGGCCAGAAGCCTCATGACCGAGCCCTGGATCTTAAAGGGCTACACTCAGCCCCTGCCCGGTCCTCGGCTGTGCCCCTGCCCCAGCGGTCTCTGAGAACGGGTAGCGGGTTCACCTTCCCAGAGCCAGATCCTCAGAGCACGGTCGATGCCGATGAATCGAGCTGAGCTTTGCTCTTACCTGCCACGTGCCACCGGGCCTAGAGGTGGGGCAGGTGTCCTTTTTGTTCTTCATTAGCACTTGTGGGCCATTTCTCCGCATTCCTCAAGAATCCCAGTCCCTTTGAGGCACTGTCAGGTAGCCCCACCTGCCCCTTCGCTACAACTGACCGCCATCCTCCGCGGGTCGTCCCAGCACCGGCCTACCTCCGCCACCGTCGTCATCATTGGTATTTGACACCATAGACCAGACGTTTTCATCTTCTTTGAACTTCTCTCGCTGAACTTGAGTTCTGCCCCACCTTACATGCCCATTTCTGGGGTCACGGCCCAGACCAGCCTCCCCTCCAGCACGTTCCATCTTTTTATAGCTCATCTACACTCCCGCCTCGGTCTCCGACCCCAGCCCCAGATCCTCCTACGGCCAACTCCTACCTTTGCTTCCTTTTTACCCTTCTCAGATCCCCAGATCTGTCACTACACCTACTCCCTCGAACACGACGTCCACTCCCAGACCCTGTAGTTTACTTGCCTGGAAAGACCGCAATCCCGATTAAACCAACTCTTTAAAACTCACTCTCAATCATACCCGAACAGCTAGAGAAGCCACCGTGCCGAAACGGCCTAGCGCCAGCTGTGACCGACCTCAGAGCCCGCCCTCACTGCCACTGCAGACACTGTCAGGTCTGTATTCCGAGCATCATGTATTCCCAAGATTCCTTCCTCCAGGGCCATCGCCCCGCCTGTCGGGTCAGCCCACTGGCACCCAGACACGCCCACATTCTACCATCCTCAGATGCGCCGACTCCACGCCAGCCCCGCCAGTCGTTACCACCACACGTCTCCCTAGAAGGCAAATCCCTTCCATGCCGTGCTCACCGTGCCTGCCGTTGCAACCTGGTTTTTATCCCACTGTTCTTGTCGGGGTCCCTGACGACCGTCACTTGGAAGACCATGACTTTACGGGCTTTGGCACCTTCGTCTATCAACAGCATTTGCCACGATTGCTCACTGCCTCCTCCAAAGGCTTGTCTAGAGCCTATGCTCTGACCTTCTATGTGTCTAGAACAGTCTTCAGATCCCTTTGCCATCTCTTTTAGACTAGCAGTTCTCCAGCTTCAGCGTGCTTCAAAATGACCCGGAAGGCTTGGTAAACCCCCTGCCCTGGATTCTTGAATAAGTTTAACAAGGAGAAACAGGCAGCTCACTACGATCCACACAATGAAATACAGTGTCTTTGGCAGGCTGAACTGGAGGCCTCCTGCGTGGACTCCCAGGACCACCTGTCCTGGCCTAGCCTACTGCAGCATCATCCATGCTTGGGAGGACTCACGGGGGCCTGAACCCGGCCTGGACCCATGGGCTTGAGGCCCCCTCCTAGCCCACAGGCAGAGGGCCACATCCAACCTGCGCTGCCTCTTCTGGCTAATCCCAGGCTATTTCCAAGCCCATCTGTGACTCAGGGTCTGCAGAAGGGATGGAGCAGGGAATTTGTGCCAGGGCCCCTGAGCACTGGGGAGGAAGTAGAGGCACAGCTCTCCAGTACTGGTGACAGATGGCCCCTCTGAGAAGAGGCACATTGTAGACCACAGGACTTCCCAATTGTCCAGCTGAAGCCAAGTGTGGCTTTTAAAGGGTGGCATAGTAGTATATGCCTCCAGAAACAGTTAGGTCTCCGTTTGAGAAACTTACAGGCATTAAATACTAAGCCAGTTAAGGGAAGTAAAGACTTGGTAAAGGACATTTTGCTGGAGTTAGACACGTTTACCTTCCAAGTCGGCAGCCCTCCAGCCCTGAACTGAGCATGCTACCTGCCTCCCAGGGAGAGGAGAGCTGAACAGCGGCCATGGTTGGCGTGGGGGCTGGGGTGTAGGTGCTACTGTAGCTGCTACTCTGGCTTTTTGGCCTCTGAATTCTGGAAGTTTAATAGCATGAGGTTTTGGTTAAAAATGAAGATGGATTCTTCCGGTAGGAGTCATCAGGAGATGTTACCTAATCTACGTAAGGCAATAGCTCTTGTTTCAGCTAATATGCATTTCTGTTCCAGCTGTGAGAACCCTGCTGGGTAGGCAGCACCCCGAGTTTTACAAATGGAGAAAGCAGCCTAGAGGTACAATAACTTACCCATGTGTATAGACTTCATCTTGGGTGAAGGTGGCGGCCGGAGAACCCCAGGGACACAGATCTGGCCACAAAAGCCCCTGACCTACAGTTCTCAGAGGGGGCCCTGCTGAGCAGGTGTAGACACAGCTCACCCCAGCACCTCGAGAGCCGACAGAGCTGGGGTTGGCACCGGAACACTCACTTTGGGGCCAGTAGACTCTCGCCTTCTTTGACTCTTCCTCGGAGGTGTGCAGGACCAGCTGGTATTTCTTTAAGGTGTAGCTGGGGCCTTGGACATTCAGTGTCATCTGGGACAGATTCTTTATTTCTGGGCAAAAGACAAAGCAAAGGTTCAGGGGCTTCTGGCGGCCAGCACCCCAGGGAGGCAGAGAAGAGCAGGAGGGCAGGGTGGGGGCTTGCACAAGGGAGCACCGAGGGCCCTCTGCCGTGGCCAGGCCACACTGCACCCTGCTGCCTGTTCTCTGTGTGGCCACAGGCAAGTCACCGCCCTCAGGGCCCACTTTGTTTTGTTTTGAGACAGGGTCTCGCTCTGTTGCCCAGACTGGAGTGCAGTGGTGTGATCACAGCTCGCTGTAACCTCCAACTCCAGGGCTGAAGTGATCCTCCTGCCTCAGCCTCCTGAGTAGCTGGGACTACAGGTGGGCACCCTCGTGTCCTGCTAGGTTTTTTCTTTTTGTAGAGACGGGGGTCTTACTATGTTGACCAGACTGGAAGGCTGACTTTTGAGGGAGGGTGGCATTTACCCACAGTCCCTCCCCACACAGAACAGGGCCTGACTCAGTTCAGCAAGGGTTCACCTCTGGCCTTGGAACCCCTCCTCCTACTACTGACCCCCAGCCACAAGTCAGGACCAGATCCAAGATTGATTTTTCCTAAGACAGTCAGGGTTCCTGGCCCAGGACATGGGAGGCTTTTAAGAAAGCAGCTCATATACCCCTATTGTCTTCATTTAGTCTTTTCAACCACCTTGAGAGGCCAACCGTATCATCCCTATTTTACAGAGGGCAAGACAAGATCAGGGAAGCCAGTGTGCTCAAGTTCTCAGCCAGGGAGTAACAGTTTGTAACAGCCCACATGGCCTCTGTCTTCCTAGGTATGCAGCTCCAAGCCAGCACAAGTGATTTGACCAACCCGGGGATGAGGGGGTGGGAGGGGAGGTCAGCACGGAATCGTGTCTGCTGAGGGGTAGGGCTGCGAAGGCAGAACCCACAAAGGAAAGGTAGGGTCGGTCTGAGGTCTCACCCTCAGAGAGAAGCACCTTCTTCGTCTCCTTGTCCCTGTCCTCGAGCTGGCCCGCGTCAGCAGGACTGCAGTTCACGAGCAGGATGGCACCCCAGCCGTTGGGACCCCAGGTCCATTTTTTCTGCAAATGAGACAGGAATGTTGGCTGAGGAAAAAGCCAAGTAAACCCCCTACTTCTCAGACGTCACCTCACGTCAAGGGGCAGAGCCAAGCCTTCGTCCAGGGCAACAGCGACCTCGCAAACAAAGCTTAAGGCCGAGGACCCGCAGGAACAGGAGGGTAGCGTTGGCAAGTGGGCTAAGAGGAAGGGAGAAAGCCAGATTCGGGTTACCTGTTACCTACTTCGTTTCGGTGCTGGGGGATATAAGGACACAGGCACACGGGAAGAGATGTCCCACACCTGAAGGTGGCAGCTAACCAACCTCTGTTCTAGGTGACCACACGACCAGGCCAGGACATGACCTTAGCGTCAGACGTCCTAGTCTTTTGAGTAAGTTAGAAATTGTCAGTTCCGACTCGAGTGGCAGCAATTTGACCGAAGAGACACCGTGAGGCTCAGACACAGCAAGTCTCCGGCCTGGTCTGGCTCACGGCCCCGCCCCGCCCTCACCTTTGCCTTCTTGTCACTCGGCAACCCGACTTGCCCGGTGCGGTAGATGTCCACCTCCAGGGAGACCTCTGAAACAAAGGAAGGGCGTCTCAGCCACCTAGACAGAGCCTCGAAGCTGCAGGTGACCCCTGAGGACTGCCCGGGGCCGTGTCGGCCACCAGCCTCTCCGGCACGCTGGAGGTTTAGGAGCGGGGGGCGTGCTCAAAGGGGACCGCCTCTCCCACCGGCAAGCCTGGAGCGGCCCGAGTGCTCATGAGACTACCCCAAACCTCGCGGTAGGTGGTCGTGATGCCATCTCAGGCCTCGCACCTTCTACCCAGGTGGTTCTAGTTTGGAAAACATACCTCCCTAGCCTTCTGGAAAGCTCTGTGCTCCAAGTCGTAGGAAGGGCTCTACATGTAAATTCCAAGCCCCTTTTCAGAGCTAAGGATCTAGGCTCCCGTCCACGTATCACCGTAGAGGCCCCTCACTGCCTTGGCACACCACCTCCCACCCCTCCTATCACGTACCTGTGTGGCTTTGTCATGGGCTTTTATCCACAGTATGTGGACATACTCTTCCCCAACTGGAACGTCAGAGCCACGAGCACAGACCTGGTTTGCTGCTGTGTCCTCAGCACTTGGCACACAGATGCCAGCTGTGAGCCCGGCTGTTCTAGGTCTCAAAGATGGCAGTGGGCAAGACAGAAGCCCTGTCCTCTTGGAACTTACATTAGCATGCGAGTGTGTGGCAGGGGCGGAGCGAACAGATACACATTACGTCCTACGGCGGCAAGAACATGGGGAACGGAGCGGGGGTGTTTCAGCTTTAGAAAAATCAAAGAAGTTTCAGTTGAAATTTAAAAGGAGACCTGAAGGAGGCAAGAAAATCTGTGCTAGTATCTGGGGTAAAAGCTATTAGAGGAAATAGCAAGTACAGGTGGCAAGTTCACGGGTCCAAGCGGCCAACAGTGCCCAGAGCAGAAGGAAGGAGAGAAGAGTCATAGGTCATAAGGGGCTGCAGTGACTTTGGCTCTGATCTGAGCAGTATGGAAGCAGCTGGAAGGTTTTCAACTGAGATGTTACCTAATGTCTTAGAGATGTGACACTCTGGTGGCTGGATTGAGACCAGCCCTACAGAAGGCAAGGGTGGAAGCAGCGCCCCCCAGGCTGTGATCCAGGTGGGAGGGGATGGGGACTCGGACCGGGGCAAGCACATGAGGACAGCGAGTCTCTGGATTCCAGCTAGATGCCAGGTAACACCCTCCGGATTCAGACTGACGTGGGGTGGGGAGTCAGGTGACACCAAGGTTACGGGCATTAACAGCTGGAAGGTGGAGCTGCCCTCTACCGTGACGGGGAGACGACTAGAAAGAGGTTTTGTAGAGGTAGAAAGAATCAGTGTTTTGAGCTATATTAAGCTTGAGATGTTCATTAGATACTCAGGAGCGTATGTGGGGTAGGCAATGCCCAAGTTCACAGGAGATGACCAGCTGGAGACAGTTGTGGGAGTACTCTGCCTATAGGTGACATTAGAGCCACGTGGCTGGCTTCCTGAGGCCTGACACACTTCACTGGCCAGCCTGGGAGACAAAGTCCAGCAAAGGGCTCTGAGAAGGAACAGGCAGGGGAGACGTGAGTGCAGCATCCCTGGAATGTTCCAGTGAAGTGTGCCAGGGCAGGATAACCGGTTGCATTAGACACTGCTGACAGGTAAAGGGGAAGAGGGAGTGGATGTCTAGACCCGGTGAAGAAGTTAGAGTCTTTGGCAAGAGCTCTGGTGGTGGCAGGTATCTGGGTAGATTCGGGGGAGAGGAGAAATTGAGGACATATGGGTGGCTCCCATGTAGCAGAGAGGTGGGAGATGGGGCTTAAGGACAACACGGAATCAGGTTAGAGATGCTATAGCTCGTTCCTGTTCCTGGGTTGATGGCAATGAGCCAGAAGAGGGGGAGGGGTGGTGATGTCTCACGTCACTAAGAATCGCTCAAGGGATGACTTGAACGAGAGGGGAGAGGACCTAGGGAGACAGGAAAGCCGAACACAGACACATCAGTTCTGACAGAGAAGGTCAGTGACACAAGTAGGTGGGTAGGTGACGGTAACATGGAGTTTCTGGTTGCTTCTGTTCTCAGGGAGATGGTTCAGCAGTACATGGCGGGGAGAGAGAAGTGATAGAGCTTCAAAGAGGGAGGAGGTAAGTGAGTAGCTCGGATCAATCTGCTCAGGAATTCATGCAAGAATTCTGTGGGCCCATAGGGCGCAACTCCCTGCAGAGAAACCCTTTTTGGTTCTTGTAATGCCCACCCCACCCCACCCCAATGCCAGGGGGAGGCTGGGCCCCGGTGGGACCAACACTCACCAATGCCAGTGAGGAACAGCACAGCGGTGCCCAGGGACATCTCCTCATTGGTACCATAGTACGTGACCAAGACCTGTGGAGACAGCGTCCAGATCCGTGGGAACGTCAGGAGACAGGGGTCAGGAACACAGGCCGGGCTACGTGCTGAGTCTCGGTATGTGACCTCAGTCTCCTGTTACAGCTTCTGAGCTTCCCGTGAGCTGGTACGGGACCATGGCACTGCACTTAGAGTCAGTCCTGAGCATTTATAAGCTGCCACCACCACCCTTCCAACCTCTATGTTAGGTTAAACCCATCCAGGTGGGAGCCACCCCCTCAAAAGCAGAGGGCTCACTCTGCACCGTTCGGGAGAAGAGGACAGCACAGGGTTTCAGAGCCTAAGCTATAAACCACATCATACGCCCACCCACCACACCTGCCCTCCCAGGTCCCACCCACTGCTCCAGGAGGCGGGCAGCAGGAAATTGGGCCTCTGGCGGCTTCAACTGCTTGCTAAGGACATGGGACACCCAGGACAGTGAGGGGAGCTGGAACTCAGTCTTTCCTGTGTCACAAACCAGCCTCTGCTTCCAAAGGGGCCTCTATATTTTAGACAGACCTGCCCTTCAGCCATGGGCCCCGATCATGGGGTTTGTCATGAACCAAAGACCCAGCCGTTAACTGGAAAACATTTACACGTGTGATCAGCTGTTCCTAAATGGAAGCCATAGTCCAAGGTCAAGCATCTCACTCTGTTGGCCACGCTTAAGGGTGTTGGAGGCTGGGCCCTGGGCAGAGGATGGTCCTCAGTTCCTACAAGATGCTCCGTCCCTACCCAGGTGTACCCTCAGGGAATTGCCTACCTGCACGGAGCGTAAGTGGGCATGTGAACTACACACAACCAAACCTAGCTCCAGCCCCTGCCAGCAACAATTCCAGCATGTTCCAGTGGGAACTGCTTCATCGCGGTTCTCACCCCAGCGCTGGATTGGAGTCACCTGGGGAGCTGTAAACTACAGCGGCCAGGGGACTCCCAGAGTTCTGATTTAATTGGCAGGGGGTGGGGCCTGGGTGTTATCCAGTCCCCGGTGGTTCTAATCTGCAGCCAGAGTTGAGCACCGCTGCTCTGATCGAGCTCCTACCGCAGAACCACCCCCGCTGCCCCCGCCCGAGACTGGCAGCCTGTTCTGCGAGGAGGAGGTGAACCTCCCCCACTGCAGGTGTCCCGGCGAGGAAACAGCCCCCGGGAGCAAGAGCACAGACTCGGACTCAGACCCTGGATCTCCCCCACTCTGGCTGTGCTATTTAGGCTGATACAGCACTCTGTGCCTCGGTTTCCTCAGGTGAAACGAGGGTAGAGGCCAGTCCCTTGATTCACGCTATCTAGCGCATAGCATGCGTTTAATACACCTTAGCAATCAAGTTTCATTGAAGTCTCCACGTCCAGAAGAGCTGCCTTAGACAAAAAGCCCATCTGAGTTCCGCTGGTAGCTTTTAAGCCAGGCGTTAACAGCAGCTGGACCGGAAGCCAGCCCAGCGTCACTCTCAGGGGTGCACGTGGCAGAGACGGACACAGCTCGAATCCCAGTTCTGCCAACTACCGGCTTGGGCAGGGCACCCCCTGTGCCTCAGTCTCTTCATCTGTGATATGGGGGCGTGGAGTGCCACCCCCAAGGTTGGCTGCAAGCGCTGGGCGAGATGGGACACGCAGGACACTCGGCACCACGTTTCTCCCAGGCTCAGGGCACGGCAGCCGTCAGGAGGGGACCCCAGCGGTTGTGCCAGGTCCCACCCCCGAGACACCCCTCATCGCTCTGCCCCAGGCTGACCTTGTCCCCATCCACCATGAAGCTCGGTGATGTCATCTTCACGATCGCGTACGTGGGCTCAGTCAGGGGCCACCAGATGGTGGCGTCCTCCTTGTCAGTGATCATCGTGTCGGCGATGTCGATCAGGACCCTCCCGGAGCCGCGGATGGTGAAGCACTCGCACAGCTGCGGGGCGCACCTGGTTTGCCCGGCAAGGAGACGGACTTCAGGGCACAAAGGCTCCCCTCCTCAGCCTAGAAGGTGGCTGGTACGGTGGGGGACAGCCCCCAAATCCTCATTCTCCTTAGGGTGCCCAGAGGCCTGCAGGTCAGGGTGGTTTGGGGGTTCTAACACAATCAGCCTCATTCCAACCACTCTGACCCCAGGAACCCCATGTTCACCCTGTGCCAAGCTCCAGCCCAGACCCTACCCTCCAACTGATGCTCTAGAAGTTACCAAAGAGACATCTTATTTATAAACCCGCAACCCCCAAGGAGGTAAGAGCCATTTGTCTGAGCTGCAAGGGATCCAGTAGGGAAAAAAAACAGGGCACGGGACATGGGAGGTCCGCGTTGTGACCCCGGGGAGGATGCGGCCTGCTGTGAGCCGGTCGCCCCCATGCCAAGGCTCCAGCGTCCAGGGGTCCCCCTCGCCTGCTCCTCCCAGCCCCCTGGGGGGCCAGCATCACCCGCCTTTCACAGGCAGAGGGCAGGAAGCCAAGGCGCTCGCCTCTCTAAGGGCCCACAGCCGACATGGGGCAGAGGCAGGAGTTAAGTCAGAATCCTGCAGTGGCGGACAGGGAGATTCTCTAGAAACCCAACCCAGCCTTCCCGAGGCAGGGCAGGACCGTGAGACACAGTGAAGAGCAGTAACCCCAGCTCCCAGGAGCAGGGAGCCAGGCGTCAGCCTCCCCGTCCGGGACGCCCCCACCCCCAGCACCTTACCCACTGAGATCCACGTAGATTTCCGAGCCCAGCACACACACGGCATGGGTAGGGTTGTCCAGGGAGAGGCGGACGATGTTCTGGAAGGACATGGTGCAGCCCCCGAGCTGACCCGCCGCAGACCAGCTTGCAACCCTCGCTCAGCACAGCGGCCTCAGCGGACCCAGGGCTCCCCACCCTCCCCTGTTATGCGGTCAGGGCCTCTCCAGCCCGCCCCCTTGTTAAGGTCGGCGGCTGTCCAGGTGTAACTGATTTCCTCCACTGGGGCCTCCTGGTGGCTGAGGGCAGGGAGAGGCACAGGCAGCTCGCGGCTGCAGGCCTGCAGACCCGGGAGTCAGAGGCTGCTTGCTTAGGGGTCTCTGGCCTTCAGCTGGGAGCAACAGCAGCTTGGGAAGCTGGTGCCTGGGAGTGGTCGACTTGGCTGGAAGCAGTCAGGGGCAAATACCTGCAGAGGGCAGTTGGGGGCAGCATCCCCGGACTTTGGTGCCTCATTCTAGGGTGTGTGTTTCCTGGAAATTGACGAGGGCAGCCCAGCAAAGTGTGGGACTCCTTCTCAACGCTCTGGTGGTTGCCAAACTTATCAAGGGAGCTTGTTAACATTGCAACTCCTGGGCCCAGAAGGTCTGGGGTGTGGTCCAGGAACCTGCATCCCATCCCCAGGTGGTCAAGGTGAGCTGGTTGCTCACAGCTGTGCCTCCAGAGGGGCAGAGCGAGTGTTGGTGGAATGAGCAAATCGAGGGCCCCTACGGAGCCAGGTGCACCCGCTGCTGTCCATCTCGGCTGAGCCCACAGAGCAAAGAAATAGGAACTGTTGCTCGGCACAAGGAACTTACCCAGCTTCCTTTGAAACAGGGTTCATCTTACATCGTAAGCTTGGGTTATGCTTATTCTTGGATAGGTACCACGTTCACACCACGGTGCCAAGGTCAAAAATTCTCCCTTCTGCCTTGTCCCTTGCCCACCCATAGGTGAAGGGAGCCAGTGTCACCAGTTTGTTTCCCAGTGAATACTACGCAAGACCAAGCAAGTATGTCTGTCTGTCCTCCCCTCGTTCTTACATACACGCTGGCATAGCCTACACAGTATGTCATAGGCTGCTTTTTCCACTGCATAGTGCGAGGCGGAGGGACGCTCTCCCTGTGGGTATGCAAAACGCAGCCCTGTCCCTGTTTATGGCTGCGCACTTTGCATGGGGCTGTACTGTAATGTACGTGAGCATTTGTTGTCAGTCTTCTGCTCTGACACACGGAGCTGTTGGGAGTCGCCTGCGTGTCGCCAGCGCAGGACATGCAGGCCGGGCACTGAGTGAAGACTGCTCTGTTGAGTCACCCAAGGTGTTGAAGTTAAAACATCCCCTCCTTGGAGGCCTTCAGCGCTCAGCATACCTGTCACAGATGGCTCTATTTTAGTTCCTCTTGGAGGCAGGTGGTTGGCCAGGAAAGCCCTAAAATCCCCTCTGATTGGACTGAAGGTGGCAAAATTAAACAGGCAGGAAGCACTGGCCCAAGGACTCCGCCGTCCTCATGCACAAGCAGCCAGAGGTGGGCCAGGGGGAGGGGTCGCTGAAGGCTGGGCTCTGGGTTTAGAGGGCAGCTTGCCTTGTGCCAGGGCCCCATCTGAACATAGCAGGGAAAGACCGAGCTCCCCCCCTAGCCTGGTGGATGGAGACCCTAGAGCGAGCCCTCCTCCTTCCAGGGGCTTCTTGTTCACCACTGAATCCCCAGCACCCACAGAAGAGCCCTGGACATAGTAGGTGCTCAACAAATTCTTGTGGAGCAAATGAATAAATGACCTCCCCTTGTCCTTCCCCCCAAAAGATAGCTCAATGGGCTTCCACGGGGGTCTCCACTGAACCGAGCAGTTTGTAGTCACAAAGCAACTTTCTGTTGACTCCCGCAGCTCCTCCCGTCCTTGTTCAGGGCAGGAAGTTCTCGTTGGCAACGAGACGAAGTCTGCTCCACACTCTTAGGTTGTCAAAAGGCCTGTGATCACTTCAGGTCACTGTGGTGGATGCCGTGGTGCCCCCGAGGCCCCCTTTTGAGGGAGCACTCATTCCCCCAGCTGCCGGGAGTGCACGGCAGTCCTGCTTCTGGAATTATCTTTGGAAATGAGCTGCCTGGCCCCCGGCCACGTCCCCTCCTGGGGGCAGCTACAGCCCATGTCGGGGGACATAGGTCAGGCTGCCTCGTCTGCACTCAGGACAACTCTGATGCCTTCCCCAGCTCCCCACGGGATTGCCGGAGCCCCTCAGGCGGCTGCATCCGGTCAGCTCCTCCCTGGTGCCCCGCAGGCCCCGTGCGTGTGCTTCCCGAGAACACCCCCGCCGCGCCGCCCGAAAACCTCCTGCAGGCAGGTCTCCGCCTCAGACTCCGTACCAGGAACCAGATGGAAGACAGCCCCGAATGCGGGAGTTTGCAAGTCCAGCCCCACACGAAAGATACCCGGTTTTGTAAAGTGAAACCTTCCCCTTGCCTGCGAGGGCTTCGTGCAGGAGCGAAGCAGAGAGCCGAGGAAAGCGGGTGCTCGGCTTCCTTCCCCGCCCTGCCCGCTGCGGCTGCACGCGGTCTCTGACCACAGCAGGCGATGGAGCGGCCCTGACCCACGCGACCTGTGCTACCTCATGCGGGAAAAGAGCCTTTGCGAAGGTGACTACATTAAGCATCTCGAGAGGGGGAGATTGTCCTGGACCATCTGGATGGGCTCCAAACGTCACACAAGTGTCCTTGTAAGGGAGAGGTGGAGGAGAAGGAGATGTCACCGGGGAGGCAGAGGTTGGAGTGACACGACCACAAGCCAAGGGACACAGGCAGAAGCCCGAAGCGGCAAGGAAGGATCCTCCCCGAGAGCCTTTGGCGGGGGGATGGGCCTGCAGACACCTGGATTTCAGCTTCCAGAACGGCGAGAGAATCAATTTGTGTCGTTTTACACCACCTGGCTCGTGGCCGTGTGTTACAGCAGCCTCAGGAGCTGCCATGTGGTCGCTGGGGAAGGGGGAGGCGGGAGCCAGGCTGGGGGCACAGGGAAGTTTTGCTTCACGGTGCACTCTGGGCTGGTGGCACTGTCTCTGCCCCCGCGGCCCTGAACGGCCGGGTGGGCTCCTGCCCACCGCATTTCCTCTGGGGCACAGGCTGCTTGGTCCGCCAGCTCGTCTCTGAACCCTTCTGCAGCCCAGAATCCAGCACACCTGCCGTTGTGTCTGCCGAGGCCCGTTCTCCGCTCCGGGCAGCCCTGTCGGTCAGGCTGGGGACGACCTCACGCCAGCTTCCTGCCGCGCGCACGGCCCCTCCCGGTCCACAGGGAACACGCGCATCCTTCGCCCAGCAGATGGGGTCAGGGGGAGCGGCTGATGCTCTCCAGAGAAACACGTTTCGACCCAAGTTTTATGAATCCCCTTCTCCTTAGTGGGCAGGCAGAGGCTTTACAAAAACATAGGATTTATTTTTTTATTAAGATAAAAAAAAACATGACACAAAATGTACCAACTGCACCGTTTTTAAGAGTACAGCTCAGTAGTGTTGAGTACATTCACACTGTTGTGAAACAGATCTCCAGAACTTTTTCATCTTGCAAATCTGAAACTCTGTGCCCGCTCAACGACTCCCCTCCCCTGCCTCCCCAGCCCCAGTAAGCACCATTCTACTTTCTGTTTTGCTAACCCATGTCACTGGAACCATAGGGTATTTTTTTGTGACTGGCTTATTTCTCTTAGCATGATGTGGACAAGGTTCACTCGTGTTGTAACAGGTGACAGGATTTCCTTCCTTTTGAAGGCCAAATAATATTCCCCAGCATGTATATGCCACATTCTGTTTATCCATTCATCCGTTTTTGATTTTGATTTTTTTTTTAGAGACAGGGTCTCCTTCTGTAACCAAGGCTGAGTGCGGTGGCATCCTCATAGCTCATTGCAACCTTGAACTCCTGGGCTCAAGCGATCCTCCTGCCTCAGCATTCAGAGGAGCTGGGACTGCAGGCATGAGCCACCATACCGAGCTAATTTTTCTATTTTTTGTAGAGACAGGGTCTTGCTCTTGCTCAGGCTGGTCTCGAGCTCTTGGCCTCAAGTGATCCTTCCACTTTGGCCTCCCAAAGTGCTAGGATTACAGGTGCCAGCCACCACGCCTGGCCAACACCTCCTAATTTCAAAACATATTACAAGATACAGTCATCAAAACAGTGTGGGGGCCGGGCGCGGTGGCTCACGCCT